AATAGAACATACTAAAGACAAGACTAATGTTATGGAGGATAAAAACAGATATCTGGCCGGGCGCGGTGGCTCAAGCCTGTAATCCCAGCACTTTGGGAGGCCGAGGCGTGTGGATCACGAGGTCAAGAGATCGAGACCATCCTGGTCAATATGGTGAAACCCCGTCTCTACTAAAAATACAAAAAAAAATTAGCTGGGCATGGTGGTGCGTGCCTGTAATCCCAGCTACTCAGGAGGCTGAGGCAGGAGAATTGCCTGAACTCAGGAGGCGGAGGTTGCAGTGAGCCAAGATCGCGCCATTGCACTCCAGCCTGGGTAACAAGGGCGAAACTCCGTCTCAAAAAAAAAAAAAAAAAAAAAAAAAAAAAAAAAAAACAGATATCTAACATCCAGATTATGGAGATCTAAGAAAAAATGAAAACTAGCAATGCAAAAGAAAATGTGAAAATTTATGATGATAAATTTCCCAGAATTCAAGAAGAAATAAATCAACTGTAAGGAACTAATGGAGATAAGCAGAAAATTCTAACCGCTTCTAGAAAGATCAAAGAACCTATGAGGGAACAAGGACAGACTGACATCATAGTTCTCTATACTAAAGAAATACATTTTGTTTGAGGACCAAACAGGAAACATGATGAAAACAGACCACATATTTGGCCATAAAAAAAGCTTCCACAGGATCAATATCATATTGGTGTTCTCTGAATAGACTGTAATATGATTAGTTATTAAAAATCCCCAGATTTGAAACTAAATTACACATTACTAAATAACTCTTACATTAAAAAGGAAATCATAAAAGATTTTAAACACTAAAAACTGATTGATAATAACATGACAAAGTTTGTAGAACACAGCGAAGCAGTATTTAGAAGAAAATGTACAGCTATATAAACATTAATAAGAAGTTAAGACGGTTAAAAGCAAAGAGTACACATTTAAGTAAAGAGGGTGGAAAAGAAGCAAAGGGCAAACTCTATGAAGTAATGAGGAAGCAAAACATAAGGAGGTAAGCACAAATCACTGAACTGGAGAAGAAAAAAACATCAGGAAGATTAACAAAACAAAACTATGTCTCCTTCAAAAGATTACTACAATAGACCTGTGGCAATAATAATCAAGAACAAAAAGAGTGAATATTCAAATAAAATATACAAGAAAGGAGCATAACTATAACATGACTAAAATTTTTCATAATGAGATTATATTCAATTATATGCTAATAAATATGAAAACTTAGATGAAATGGAAAAATTCCTAGACAAATATAAAACACTAACATTAGTGCAAGAAAAGATACTTATACAGAAATAGAATGCTCAATTAAGTAACAACAACAACAAAAAAATCAACCTAGTATTTAAAGCCCTCCCCTCTCCCAAACACCACAGGATTCACATAGGTATTTTTCAAATTTTTTTTAGAATATTGATATACTTACTACAAGATCTATGTCAAATATAAAGTTTCCATGAATAATGTATTTAATCTTGCTCTACGGTGGTAATAATAAAAGTATGGCATTGATACTTATGCCCTACTTATGTAGTGATGGCATAAGTATCAATGGAGTAAATAATTGAGCTCAAAGATAAACCCACGTAGATATATGTAATTGATGATGATTATATAAACAAGGGAAAAGGATGACCTCACTTCCAGGGAGGGCATTAATCTATTCACCTCGCAAACACCTTCCATTAGGCCCCACCTCCAACATTAGGGATCAAATTTTAACATGAGGTTTGGGGGTACAAACACCCAAACTATAGCACCATGTTTTTTAATGTTACTAGAAAGACTGAATTATTGCCAAATTGTTTACAAATGTAAAATAATCACATTGAAAAATAAACATAATTTTTAAAGAAATTTAATTAACTTATTCCAAAATATAAAATATTCAAAAAGAACACATGTAACTTAACAAGACAAATATAAGAACACTAGTGGAAAAATGGGCTAAATTCATGAATGGACCATTTCAGAAGAAATCCCAAATGTTCTAAGCATATAAACTGAGCCTCAAACTCACAACTTATCACATAAATGCAAAGTAAAACATAATGCAATATGTTACCATTTATTGGACTAGTGACACAAAGTTAAAAGTTTGATTATGTCAAGTGCTGCTGTGAATGTGTATGTGTGGGAACCATCATCCACTGTTGAAGAGATGCAGACTGGTGTAACCATTGTGAGAGCAATAGGCGGTGTTCAGTCAAATGCAAAATATGCAATCCCATGGCCCATCAAATCCTGCTTCATATTCCTACAGAAATACTCAAATAGGTCTATAGGGGTCTGGCATAAGGATAATCATTTTGTAGCACTCTTTATGAAGGCAAATGGTAGGAAGCAATATATGTGTTCCTCACTAGGGGAGACATGCCACTGAATTTTTCATGCAAGTTAAAAGCAGCAACTAAAGGTATACACAAGAAGAATCTTATGTTACTGAGCCAAAAACTAACAAAATTAGATACAACTTAATACCATTTAAGTAAATTTAAAAAGAAACACATATAGGCAAAACAACAATATATAGTTTACCAGGACACATATAAATGTATATACTGTATATTAAACATATTAAAATTGTTGCCTAAATGTACCTACCTATATATGTCAATATGTATATCTATACTCTCATCTATATACTAAAAAGGCCTACAGGTGGCAATGAGCCAATAGCAATGAGCATACCAAATGTACAAATAGTTTCTAAAAGGAATCAAGGTCTTTGGGTAAATGGCTGATTCCAGGGCTGGGGAAATGCTCAAAATGTGACAGGGACAGGGCAAGTCAAGCGGACACAGGATCTAGATTTTAAGGAGTCCCACTGGCCAAATATGGGACCATTTAAACATCAAAATAAATAATGATAGAAATGGATTGTAATTCATTGAAATAAAACAAGAATTTATAAGTTAACGGTAATAATAAATAAATAGGAGTAGGAATAGCTCTTCCTTATAATAGAATGATACTTATTAAAAGGAAAAGAAATAGTTTTTAAAAAATCACCATTTTGTAACCATCATAGTTATAACTGATTCACATAAAAATCAATGGATGCTAAAACTAGTGCATGAAAGTTTTATGTGCAACAGGATTCTGAACATTGCAGATAGTTTTAACATAGACTGAAAGTATCTCCCCCAAATTGGATATTAATTATAAACTGAATAATATTAACTTGTTAGTGAATAAATCTGGCATTATCTCTCAACCACAATAGAGATATTAATCATAAAACAGTATAATATTTACTAGGGGAGTTACTTGATCTGAAAGTGGTATTCTATCCTTTCAAAGGCCAAGAAATTTTTTTCTGCCATCTTATATAAAAGATTTAATATTCTAAGAGCTTGAATTTAGGTTGTCTCTGAAGAGTCTGATGAATAATCTTGACAATAAGAAAGTCAATGCTGAGATTTTAGAGTGAATAGACATTTTTAATCTCATAATCTACTTTTTGTTAACTAAATCACCCCTCTCACATTTCTTAGACATCTAAAAGTAGCTGTTAGACCTATTAAGTTCTCCTGATGAAAACTGAAATGTTTAGAGACTCCATCTTTGCATCATCTTCCTATATCCCACTTTTAAACATTTTTTTCCACTGAAAATTATTCTTCAAATGAACTTATAGATATCACACATGCCCAGTAAACTTCAAATCTGCAAGTGATGAATAGATAAACTGCACAGGAAACACTTTTGACAAACATACCAGCGTTTCCTTTTGTAGAATCTTTGGGCCATATTAAGGGTATTGCTAAGCTGGCATCTCACAAAGTGTATAGAATAAACCACCCATTTGGGAAGACATTAAAAGGGAATACTAACAACAGCCAACTTGTTTTATTTAATTTGTGTACAATTAATTCCAAATATAAAAAAATTTGGTGAATATATTTGTAATCTTAGGATAGTAAAGAACTTTGAGTATAACACAAATAGCATTAGTCATTAAAGTACTAATTATATTTGAACACATGAAGCTTATTGTAAAGCTCTATGTGAGGTTGCTATATTTTACCTTAAACATCAAATGTAAAAACTTATTAGAGATTTGCCACATAAAACTGTCATGTGACCAATTTATTTGAACAACAAAATTTCTTGAATCTAAACGATAAGGTAAATATGACTTAGTTCACTTAAGATTTAACTTTTTAGGAAGAATTTTAGAATCGGTGTCCAGAAAACTATTTTCCTATGAATAATTCTGAGACTGAATTTCACAAATCTGAATTCCCCAATCCCCAATATATATTATGACATCACTTTTCATTGTTGGCTCCAGCACAGATTTCTGATGTCATTGAGATCAGCGCAAAGGATTTAAAGGCAAATAGTAAGAAACAGTCCGGGCGCGGTGGCTCACGCCTGTAATCCCAGCACTTTGGGAGGCCGAGGCGGGTGGATCACGAGGTCAAGAGATCGAGACCATCCTGGTCAACATCGTGAAACCCCGTCTCTACTAAAAATACAAAAAATTAGCTGGGCATGGTGGCGCGTGCCTGTAATCCCAGCTACTCAGGAGTTTGAGGCAGGAGAATTGCCTGAACCCAGGAGGCGGAGGTTGCGGTGAGCCGAGATCACGCCATTGCACTCCAGCCTGGGTAACAAGAGCGAAACTCCGACTCAAAAAAAAAAAAAGAATAGTAAGAAACAACATAAATTTATACACTATTTTTTTTTTGGTTCAAATTTGCTATGATTGCGTTACAAACTACAATGTGTTGTCCCTTTAAAATTCTCATGTAAATGTGTTATTTGGAACCTCGTACTTCATTTTTCTCTAGAATGAAGTGTCTATGTGTTGGTAATAAAAATTGTTTAGGACTTTCCAAGAAGTTAAATGAATCAAGATTTAAATACAATCCTTTATTACTGAACCTGATCATCATGTGTGACAGCAAATTGAACTTAAATTTACTTCAAATTCATGTTCCATTTGTACACACACATTGTTCTTGCTCATTTTGATTTCCTAATTCTCAAGTCCTTCCACCACCTGCATGCTCTTCATGAGTCACAGATATCTTTTCTTCCCCTCAAATAGGATCAAGTGACCAAACCTGAGGCAGGGGCTCCGTCCAATGTGATGATGGCTTTGGGTTTGGGGGCACAAGCTCTGTAGGGTGAGGGATAGACACAGGGTCTCTTAGCTCCTTTCCTTTTGCTGAGGGCTCCTCTGCTGCCTGTCCAACACTACCACCGTCTTTCTCTAAGTAGGATTCTCTCCTCTCTTGGATCGCTGTTGATAGAATCTCATACACAGGCTTTCTGATAGTTTCCTAAGGGCTTTGACTGCTAATTACTAAGGGTCACAAACAAGCTTTGAGTACCAAGTGTCTCTCTTCTGATCTGATCTTATATTTTCCACTTAGGTTCAAAAACAATGTTACCTAAAGATGCTTATGGTCTCATGGAAAGCTCTTATTGCCATTGATGCTCCCTGTATTTTCTACCTGTTAGATCAGTCAACTCACCCATCGTTGTCATTGTTGTCAGAACATACAGTAGAAGCTGTTGATGAATCCATAATTCTACCAAAGAGTAAAAAAACACATACAAAAAATAAAGTCAGATATTTTGGAAGAAGAGCCTGGGGTCAGTTCAGCCGAAAGAATGACACAAGTCTCAGGTCTTGTGTCATTGGTACAAGTTTCTCTAAGAAAGAGAAATTTATTCAAGATCCTGTTAGCAGTTTCCTCTCCTGCTGCCTTTCGAGATTATGGCTTTTCCGTTTTTTTATTTTTTCATTTCGGAAAACGAAGTCTGTTAAATCAAATCTTTACCCAATTCCTGGCAAGTAACAAGGTTACTGCTATTTGGCCCTACACCCACTAGGTGTCCTCCAGTACTATGAAGATAAGGGGACTCCGTGAGGCCCCTGGGAGGGGAAACGAATGTCAATGAGTGATCTCCGCAGCTGGGTATAAGCAAGCTTTCCTGTCTGTGGGCCCCAGAGACTTGCATCTAGTTCCCCCACCAAAATTTTACATGATTCTAATTCTCCTGATGAGGATAAGAGGGCATTATTAGCCAACAGAGAGGGCAGAGGCTGGGATGGGACTCCCTTGCTCTGAGACCCTCACCTCTAGGTCTTTACCTTACCTCGTATTGAGAACAATTGAGTATTGGGATAAGAACTCTGTGTCCATGGCATCCCGAAACAGAATCCTGGTGCTCTTGAGATTCTCGCAGAGTGGGAAATAAAACAAGCTGGGTTGAAGACTGCAGAGACTTAAAAACAGATGCTGTTCTGTCACACATACAGATACTCATTAACGATGAGGGAGAAGGGCATGGGGTAGAGGAGAATGTACCAAAACCAAAGACCCCAGGGTAATAACCTCAGAGCAGAGATGATCTCTCCAGTTATTTATTTCTTTTTATGTAATGGAGGGGTTTCTTCTTATTTACCCTGATGAAGAAGGTTACATCAAGGGTTCAGCTTCCTTTGTGGATTAGAGGATAACCAGAGGGCTCAGTGTTTTCTAAACAATATTAAACTTGACTAGAATAGGCAAGGTTGATAGGACTGTGAGAAAACGAATATTTGTACATTTAAAATACACTAATATTCTAGCTAAGAGAGAGAATTTTGAGTGTTTTTAAAGCAAAGAAATGGTAAATGTTTAAGGCAATGGATATGCTAATTACCATAATTTGATCATGATACAATGTATAAATGTACTGAAACATCACATTGTACCTCATAAATATGTTAAATTTATTGTGTCAACTAAAATTTTGATTATAAGAAAAAATAAACTTCAATTGTAAGAAAACAACCCAACTTTTAAAAAATGTGCAAAATATATGAACAGATACTTAACAAAGATTTGCAACTGGCAAATAAGCAAATGAAAGATGGTCATCATCACTAGCTATTAGAGGAATGTAGATTAAAACTACAATAAGAAACCACTAGATATCTATTAGAATATCTAAAATTAGAAAGCTGGAGCCTTGACAGAGATGGAGAGAAACGGAAACTCTCATACAATGCCAGGAATGTAAAATGCTAGATCCACTTTGGAAAAGCGTTTGGCAGTATCTTAAGAAGTTAATTAGGTCTTTTTGTTCCCAGCTCAACATGTAGAGAACTTGGAAGTCATCACTCCCATCTTCACAACAGGGAAAAAAGATAATCAAACTGAAAATCAACAACTTTTCTTAGATCTGTCAGAGAATAGAGGTCACAGGGCAAACTATTTGCTCAAAAACTAGGGAGATGGGTGACTACAGAAAATCACAGTTTACCTGACAGAAGCCACTAGAGCCAGTAATTGGTAGGAACACTTAAATGGCAATCAATAAATTACTGGTGGCTGAGTGTGGACTAGCTTGAGAGTTAAAAATTTGCTGGAGTCCTGTTTTGGGGACCCCTTAAACTTTCATGAATTTTACTTCCAGGAACCTACCAGGTTCTCATGATGAAGGCTGAAGAAAATATCCTCAGGCAAGGAAAAGGGAAAAGCAATCATTTCAAAATATGCCCTAACTGGGGGACAGAGAGAGTGAGTGGGTATAGCAACCATTTTGAAGTATGCCCAGGGCATTCTGTTCTCTGTGTAAAAGGCCTGCCCTAAAGAGAGACTGCTTTATCAGGGTCTTGTCTGACATAGGGGAAAAGCAATAAGACAACTCTAAACCCCTCTAGTTTTCCTGCCGCACAAAAAAAGGAAGGGAAAAAAAGAAATAATTACTAATTCAATAGCATAAAAATGTATATCTATGTTTTTGTTTAAGAGTATGGTGTGGGATCTTCACTTAGATATTTCTTCTATTTGAGGTTAATTTTGCTGTATGATGTGAGGAAGAGATCCAACTTCATTCATTTGTATGTGGATATCTAGTTGTACCAGCACCACTTGCTGAAGAGACTGTAGGTAACTTAGTAAAGATTACGAAAAACCATCAGCAAACATTAAACTTAGTGGTGAAAGTCTTAAAGCTTTTCTCCTAAGATGAGGAGAAAGACAAGAATGCCTGCTCTTGCTTTTACTATTCAACATTGTACTGGAGGTTCTAGTCAGGATAATCGAACCAAAAACAAAACAAGGCAAAACAAAGAAAAGAAATAAAAAGCATCTAGATTGGAATGGAAAAAGCGGAACTATATTTTTTGGAGATAATCTTGTATGTAAAAAGTCTAAGGAATCCACAACAACAAACCTGCTGGAGTTAACAATTTAGTTCATGAAAGACACAAGATCAATGTGCAAAAATTGGTTATATTTAGAAATACTAGCAATTAGTAGCCTGAAATGAAATTAAGAAACTAGTTTTATTTATAACAGCACTGAAAAACTAAGTAAGAATAAAACAAAAGAAATGTAAGACTGCAAAATATTATGGAAAGTGATTAAGTAAGACCTAAATAAATGGATACACATCAGGTACTCATTGAATGAAAAAAAACTGTTGAGATGACAGTACTCCACAAATTGATCTACATAGTCAGCTGAATTCCTATCAAAATCCTAGCTTTTCTTTTTGCAGAAATTGACTTGCTGATCCTAAAATTTGTTTGAAAATGCAAGAGACTCTGAATAACCAAAACAATCTTGAAGAACAATGAAGTTGCAGAGTCCACACTTTATTATTTCAAAACTTACGATAAAGCTATAGTGGTTAAAATAGTGTAGTACTAGAATAAGGATAGACATGTAGATCAATGGAATAGAATTGAGAGTCCAGAAGTAAATCCATACATTTAAAGTCAGTTGATTTTCCACAAGGGTACCAAGACCATCCACACACACACACACACACACACACGCACACACACACACACACACAATCTAGAGGAGAAACTAATGTCAAAACTAAAGTCATCAGTCAACATAGAAGCCAGAGATGCCCTGGAAGTAGGCCAAAACCAAAAACCTAGAGCTTTGTTAGTTAACATTTTGCCTCCCTTAGGTAGTAAATCAAAATTGGGGCAATCAATAGTAAAATTAAAACACTTTTGTTTTAAAAAGCTGGGAATGAGATGTCAGTAGGGGACTTTGAAATGCTCTGACACATCCTGACTGAGAATCTAGAATTTTTTCTGATTGACTAATAGGACTTGAACTGACAAAGTAGGGAACTGAATCTGAGAACGCCACATAAATCCAGGCACCAAAATCGGCTATATATTTAGTAGAAAAGACAAAGTTTGAAGGATATGACAAGTGAACCAATAAACAAATCCGTCTCTGCAGGCAGTAGTTTAAAACATTAATAATTTTATTAGGCTTCCCTAATGTTTTCTAATCAGCTTTACTCTTATGCTGGTGAATTTATACCATACTTAACAGTCCAAGAAACCTCAAACTAATAAATCAAACTAGAATGGTTCCTGATTGGTACTACTTCCAGAGCCAAGCAGAAACCAAGCAAATCATCTCAATTTTGGTCTCTCAGGATATCCAAAGTTAAAGTTTAGACAAATGTGAGCTATATATAAAATTTAACAAAGAGTTGAGGGGTCAAACTGCTATAAGCAGGAGTCAACAGAAACCATAAAAAGAAGATCAAGACATAGAAAAATACAAATATTAAAATTATAACAAACTTTATACTCAGGAAGTAGGTTTAAAAGTACATTTAAAGTGAAAAGATAGAGATCAACACTATGGAGAGCATTAAAAGGGGCCATTGGTCCACTCTGGGACTTCAGAGTAGGAAGTCTCATGATAATTTTGTCTTAGGTAGTCTGCCTTTCAGTGGTAAGGAGAGAGGGGCAACACTGAAGTGTCAAGGATCACTTTAGAGGCTACTACAAAGCTTAGGTGAGAGATACTGATGGCCTGAAAACCAGGATGGTAGTAAGAATTGAGAGGAGAGACAGATTTGAGAAAGAGCAGAAAAAATTAGCACAACTTGTAATTGACTAGCTATGTGGAGGACAGCCAAAGCAATCCTATGAAAAAGATGAAGCTGGCCGGGCGCGGTGGCTCAAGCCTGTAATCCCAGCACTTTGGGAGGCCGAGGCGGGTGGATCACGAGGTCAAGAGATCGAGACCATCCTGGTCAACATGGTGAAACCCGGTCTCTACTAAAAATACAAAAAATCAGCTGGGCATGGTGGCACGTGCCTGTAATCCCAGCGACTCAGGAGGCTGGGGCAGGAGAATTGCCTGAACCCGGGAGGCGGAGGTTGCGGTGAGCCGAGATCGCGCCATTGCGCTCCAGCCTGGGTAACAAGAGCGAAACCCCAACCCAAAAAAAAAAAAAAAAAAAAAAAAAAAGAGAATTATTACAGTGAAGGAAAATGCTTAAATAAAGAAGGAAGCTGAATTCTATAAGCTGCCAGGAGCTACAACAAACTTTGAGGGATATAAGTTCTTAACATTCTCTGCAGCCCACAAATACATACAAAATGGGTAGCAAACACCACCGGAAAATCAGTTTCTCCTCCAGGAGTTAATGTCATTTACCCTTTATCAAAAGCTATTTTTGAAATTTTTTAAATTAACCAACAACAAATTGCATGTGCTTATTATATATAATGTGAGGTTTTGACATATTTATACATTGTGGAATGTTTAAACCAAGCTAATTAACATATTCATCACCTCACTTATCATTTTTGT